ACCGATTACTACAACACCTGGGTCTGTCCAAAGAAAACCTCAAAAAGCAACAATTCACAACGCCTAAAACAACCTAAGTGGGTCAGTGACCCTACACTATTAAGGGAACAAAAGCGAGTTCAAGAGCTTCTTGCTATGTACAAGCAGGACAATACCCGTGACAATCTTATTCAGTTTCTTAAAGCTAACAAAAATCTACGGGAATTAAAAACTCCTTTCAGAAAAGAACACTTTGAACAGTTCCTACAAAGCATTAATAACACCTCAATGTCTGAGGTCTGGAAAAAAAATCAATCGACTCTCAGGCAAACCAACTAACACCCCGCAGTTCCATAGTCCTCTTGCACAAGCAGACATGCTCCTTAGTCAATGGGCTGGAGCATCCAAATTGAGCTTACTTCCCACAAATATTCAGAATCACCTCAGTCATACTAAAATTGCACGTAAATTTGCCATTGAGATTGGATGTTCTGAGTGCGACCCCTCAGACTTTGCTGAGATTACTGAGTGGGAACTGGACAATGCACTGATCAAAGGAAAAGCGTCTGCACCAGGTGAGGATGGAATTACCTATAGTGTCCTCCGCCTTATAGCTCAGGTACCTGGTAATCCCCTTTTGCACCTGTGCAGGTTAAGTTTGTCACAAGGTATTCTGCCTGGCCTCTGGACGCGCAGTCTAATCATCCCTATACCGAAACCAAACACTGATAAATACCGCCCAATTTCACTAACCTCATGTGTTAGAAAGGATAATTTTGAACAGACTCAGGTACAGGTTGCAAGGTAAATTATCTCACAGACTGTACGGATTTCTATCAGGACGTAGCACACAACATTGCTTTGCAGAGTACTATTCAAACTCTAATCCAGGGAAGCACACTGTTTTTCTTGACCTTAAGTCAGCTTTTGACATTGCAAACAGAGAAATTATCCTAGAACAATTAGTAAGCTTTGGCATCCGGGGTAAATTATTGAGCTGGATTAGAATGTATCTGTCGAACAGATCTGCAAGTGTCTTGTTCAGGGGTGTGAGAAGTTCCACTTTTGAACTTGGGACGCCACAGGGAGGAGTTCTCAGTCCTATGTTGTTCAATGTCCTCATGCACAAGCTGGTGGCAGATATTCGACTTGGGGATGGGGAATCCATTATATGCTATGCTAATGACATATGCGTCAAAGCATCATCACAAGAGAGGATACAAATAATTCTCGACAAACTCACAACTAGTCATATCCGCTGAGAAAACAATGGCTCTCAATCCATGTATCATACCCCTACCCACTTATCGCATAGGTGACCAAGAGCTTGACATGTGTCATAAATATAAATATCTCGGGGTGAACATAAATGATGCAGACCTGATCCTTTCTCTGAAAGGAGAGACTGGGAGAGACTGAAACCGTTGAAAGTCCTTGTTGGAAGAGAACATGGCATCAATGTTAAGCTCACTAGACTGTTTTACTTGGCTTTTATAAGATCAGTTGTAGACTACCATGCACTGCACTTGTTGCAGTGCAAGGAACCATAAATAAATAGCTTGGAGGTAGTGCAAAATGAAGCAATGAGGATTATCCTCGGCGACCCGAGAACAGCAAGGATAGTGAACATGAGGTCAGAACTTAACCTACCATCCATCTCTGATAGAATAATGTTCATTTCCACTATATTTGGGGTCAAAGGACTGAGGGAACCCTTGTATCTCTCAGACTTCCAAAAACAATTGCAGCACAAAATCACGCAAGCAGACGTGATTAATCACACACGCGCACCCCCTAATACACAAAATTTCCATGAACATTACAAAGCTCAATGTCCCAATTAGTAAAATACTACAGGGTCGATCCATTCCACCATGGAAAGAATCACAATTTATCGTGCACCTTACGTGCCTACCACAAAAAAACAGTGTACATAACTGCGTGTTAAAACAAATTGCATTAGCAACGGTAAAGGAACACACACAGTCTATGGGCGATGATGTATACGAGTGTTACATTGACGGATCCGTACAGTCTGGATACAAAGCTGGTTGTGCTTGTACTGTATACAAAAATGGCTCACTACAACATCAAGTTAATATGAGAATGCACAATTGGGCCAGCACTACACAAACGGAGCTGGCAGGTATACTCCTTGCAACGGAATTCTTAATGTCTCGGGGCTCTGGAGTAGTTTTGTGCGACTCTCAGAGTGCTCTTCAGACACAAAATTCTTTCAAAGCAGGTGGCGATGAGGAAATTGTAAGTTGCATTAAGCGTAACGTAACTTATGCAATAGAGCGCAATTTCAACATTCAATTTGTATGGCTACCATCTCATGTCGGCATAAGCAAGCACGACCACGTAGACAAATTGGCGAAGGAAGCCTGCAGCAAAGACACTGAACATAGATCTTGGGATGCCTCTTGCTAGGGTTGCACATATATTGAAAAGTTCTCACAAGGAAGAACTAGTAGATCTGACGAACACTCAAAGGCCTGAAAGCTGTACCATAAGGCACTACGAGAGAGATAGCAAGCCCTTCTATGGGTGGCACCGAAGTCGAACCAGACAATGTGACGTGGTTATTGCCAGAATACGTTTAGGTTACAGAATGTATTGGCAACTGCACGGTGCAAGAAGTGCAGATGAATCTAAATGTAGACTGTGTAACGAAGAAAACAAGCGAACGCTTGAGCATTATATATCGGAATGTCATGTGATACAGCCTTTCAGACCACCTAACATGAGGTATAGAGAACTATGTGAATATTTAATTTCATCTGATACACTGGAAGATATACTTGTATTATATCCAAAATTTACTATATAAAGCTGCCGTAAACAAAAACAGTGTTATGTAAGCACAGTGGCAAGAGCATATTAACGTATTTTTTGTATGATGTATGACATTTCTATATTACCATGTACTATTACAGTAGCCACAGACTACTGTACTGTGACAGATATATGTAAAGCTGTAATCATGATTGCCCACGCCTGAGCAGATAGCCAGGGTGGTAAATAAACAACTTATCTAGAGGATTTCACAATCCAGATCCCCTGTGGTAATCTTACAATGCGTTCTAATCAATAAATCAACCTAATCTAACCCTATGAGGTTTATACACTACAATCTTTATATTCCCTGGACCCCCGTGGCTTTAGGAAAATACGATCTAGCCCCCCCGGATCCCCAGGGTTAAACCACTTTATAGAGCGAAAAACCGAACTTGCTGCGCTTCCGTCTATGGTCGGAATTGCTTGGTTTCTAATCTCTTTTTTCGGCATTTGGGGCACTTTTTGGTCTCAAATATCAGGCTTTGATTGAGAATGTTCTGTATATCCACAATATGGCTTTAAAAATGACCCGAAGTCGACGCAGCGCTTGAAATGAAACATTTTTCACCGGCGTTTCGCAGCGTATGGCGTCGGAAGGCCTGTCAAATCTCCCGGTGAAAACCCGCATGCGCACAAGGTAATAATAGTATAATAGTACATAATAGTGTAAATAATTACCAAAAGACGTAAAAGTATAAAACTAGAAGAATGTATTACATATACGAGTTCGGAAAAACAGACGCTATAAATAAGCGTTATCACAAGCATAGCAATTAATACATAGACTACTTGATGGCCCTCAGTAATGAGTTACACGTCACATTGGTTTTCATCTTTGTAAGGTAAACATGGATGGGGACTTTCAAAACGAGGGGTCGATTTTTCTTTTCTCGGTCCTGTATCGACCTTATTTCAGATTTCTGCACCTTTAGCCAGTTTTCGTTAGAGTAACCACTCCATACACTTATTTTACTGTACTCTTGGTTGACATACAGGGAAAGTTTTCCAAAGCTAAGACCTTTTAATCTATGGCTAAAGGTGCAGAAATCTAAAATAAAGGAGATACAGGACAGAAGAGAAAATTGATGAGGTCCGTACTGTTTCATTAGTCGATTTTAAGCGTTTTTTGTGTTGGTTTTACCCATTTCCGTTCTCTATTTTGCTTATTTCAGCCTGTTTTACCCCGTTATTTCCCTGATCTACTCCATGCCCTCCCCTGCTATCGGGACATCAAATCACATCAAATCAGATTCGTTCTCATCACACGAGAACAAATCTGATGATATAAATATTGTCCGCGAAGACCCGATTGTCATTTTTGGAAAATTAACCTTAGTTTTCGTCAAAACTACTCCATACACTTATTTTAATGTACTCTTGGTTGACATACGGAAAGTTTTCCATAGTGGTATCAACAGCAGCAGTAGTAGTAGTAACAGCAGTAGCAACAGCAGTAGTAGCAACAGCAGGAGCAGGAGCAGTAGCAGCAATTGTAGCAGTAGCAGGAGCAGCAGCAGCAGCAGCAGGAGCAGGAGCAGCAGCAGCAGGAGCAGCAGCAATAAGTAACTCAAACCAAGAAATAGTAGTCCTACTTAAAACTGACACCAAGACTTGCTTTGTTTACATGTAGTCCTTGACAGTACCTCTCATTTGCTAAAATGTACTGATTTTAAGGAGTGAAGTAGCCTTATACAACACGAGTGGAAAATTCGTACTGGTGGCAACACCAGCAAAAAGTTATAAATTGGCTCCTTTAGCTTCTAGGATTGCATACCCTAGCCTGACATAAAACATTGTAGTCGCCTATTTAACCTAGCTTAGGGGAGTAAAAATGCTAGGGCTACAGTAACGTGATCCGACTGTGGAACCAGGCTCGTCAGAGGTGATTATCAAACACTCCTTAGTGAAGTACAGTAGGGGGAGAGATCCTATTCAAGGGCTATGAGGATCCAAGATGGTCATGAAATTATTGTGCGTTTGTAATACATTCGAAACCCAGTCTAGTTTATCCTGTTGGAACACCATTATTGAATAACCAAACTAGGAGGCAAAGTAATCTGAAATGAATGAGGAATTAGGGATGCTCCTAGTAATGTAACCATGGTTAAAAGTGACAAGGAGTGCGCTGGTTCCAAAAACTCCTATGTACACTCAGTTTCCGCCTACAAAAGTAAACTTACGTGGATGGATGTTGACTTTCCAAACCTGGACGTCATATCCCTGGTATGAGAGCTTTAGAGAGTCCAGAAGATCGTGGTCGCCTACTCTCACCTTCAGATTCTGGCCATAGGCCTGTGGACAGAAAGTAATTGTTGGTTATTTTAATCGGTAAGCTCTTCAACCTCATCTAGATAAATTCTTACATTGAGGCAAAATGAAGCAAGATGAGCCAATCAAAGCACTCCCTTTTTTGCAAGAATTAAACACTACAAAGGAAAATACAGCAGCCAGAGCCAGTAACGGGTAAAGTGTCCTTCCATTTCACAATATAATTTTTTTCCATATCAAGTGGAACCACCATAAAGATTATTCGACAGGTTCGACAGACCTGTACATATGATAACTAGATCATTTTAAATCAATATGCAGAAGAAAAGTCAATCTCTAAATCTCCTTGAGTCTTGCACATCACTTCATACTGCATTAGATCCACTGCAGTACATCTTTTATACATCTAATTTTCGGAATGCATAGATCAGTTTGATTATAACTTTTTTTGTCGAGTCATCGTAGGCAGATCTTTTAAACATTGCAATTTCTTTAAGCGTGTGACAGCGTTGAATTCTCTCAGACATAGAAACCTCCAATAAATTACACGTATGGCTTTAAAGCTGAAAACATCTTTCAAAAAAATTAATGTAAAAGCCAAGATGCCAAATGGAGATATAATTACATGCAGTATTAATCGAGGAATATTGGCTATGCATTAGTAGTAGTTTCAAACATTAACTACTGTTTACTGTCAAGTCGCATTCAGGTAGAACCCTAAAATGCATGCATTTCAAAATACCACCTTACCTCATCAACGCAATGTGCAACGGTCAGCACCCATCGATCACCAATCAGGACGCCGCCACACAAGTACTCGCTTTTCGAAGACAGAACTGCCACCTAGTATACAGATGTACATTATGCATTAAAAGAAAATATCTGAGTTTATTATACACATTTCCTTGTGTATCATGAAATTCAGACTAAAAATGCACTAAGTTCTTAATATACCAAAGGTCTACAAAAATAATCGTGTTCTTACATGCCATGGAAACTGTCCAGGCGTTGATTCGCTGGAATACATGCTTGATCGTGCATACAATGACATACCCGAGCTTGTCCCACACTTCTGTTGAGAAACGGTCGAATCGTCTTCCTTTAAAGTTCGAATAATTATCCACACATCTAAACTTCCCCTGCTTAATAATGAATTTAATTTTACTTTCTCTACTTGGCTTCTGAACTGAGTAAATGCACGATAAAATGCGCTCTTTCAGCCTGCTTTAAAATAACTTTAATTTCAATACAGCCCGTTCTTCAAGTTCTTACACACCTTGGCGCTGGGATTCCCAGACTTGGGTCTTATCACGCTAGGACTGTTACCGTGCGGCACCACAATCTCTGCAATGAAAGAGGATGCTGTTGCTTTCTACGGGTTTAAGCAGGTAATATTGTACATTCCTTCTGTATCCAAGTGGAAAATATTGAAGTACTGATAAGAGTTCATTTTTGCTTTTCTTAAGGAGGTTGGGAGATGCGGTTTGGTATGAAAGCCTGTAGTTTTTCGATGCACCAAAATAGAGGATCCTTTAAGAACTTAACATTACTTTCGCGGAATACAGGTTGTTCAGGAATCGAGAAAAATAGAAGATACAAACAAGTCCCAAAAGCAATGAACATTACTACTGTTACAGAAAAAAAGTTATACTAGGGTCACTTTAAAGTTGTAACCAGATCTATAGGTGTACTTTTAGAAAAAAAAAAAAGTACTTGGGTGTAGTAACACCATGGTGGCGGGAGGGGAGGGAAAGCATTGGGGAGGGGTAAATGCTTCCCAACTGCCAAATGACGCCTTTTTAAACGATGGTTACCCGTCTTGCAAATTTAAAGGAGTTAGCCCCGTAAGAGAACATGCGGGAAGATTTATCAAAGAAAACCAAAAGGATAGCAGGGATAACTACTCTAAACAAAACAAGACCGTTTGGTATTGCATGTTCTGATTATTCTCATATGTCATAAGGCCAAAACTTATTACACACCTTTACTAGTGTCTCGCCGTCTGCGTCTTTTGCGGTTTACAATGTGGGAACCCGCCTGGGATTGGTCCGGAACCGATTCGCCGCTGTCTTGATTGTTCCCGGAACCACCCTGAGATTGGTCGCCTGTTAGGACGGATTCGTCACTGGCTTCGTCGCTCTCAGAATCACCCTGGGACTGGTCGCTCGCGGGAACAGATTCCTCGTCGTCTTCCTCGCTCGCGCCATCTTCATTCAGAGAATGGGGGGGAAATGGTGTCAAATTAAACTGACAAGCGTCTTGTAGTTAAAAGTTCAGTAAAATAAAAAAAATTGGGCTGGATAAAGATTTCCAACCGGAGGGGGAGAGGGGAGAGCTGGGTCAAAGGTTTTAATTTTAGAAAATGGAATAGCATAAATGGCCCAATAAATGATAAACTCCATTTACCAAAGACAAGAAATACAGGAATTAAGAAGAATTAAATTTTTCGTCAATACTAGTCCTCTTGTGACCATGCCTTCCCAAACAAAATCCCGACTATTTATATTGCTACGATGGAACGAAAGCCAAGTAAATTTTCTTATTTCCAGATAATAAAAAATATTGATACTGCCAATGAACTAGAATGGAACAGTTAAAAGGTAGATATGAGAATTCCACAAAAGAAACGAGTAATTAATCCCAGGTACAACACCGGGACGCTAATTGCATCTGGCCAGTCTTTCCCCATTAGTGAAGAATTAAGCCTAACTGCGCTTCCCTACAATGGGCAAGGAATGCAAACGAGCACAAAAAGAACTCTTACGTACGTGTGTACGAGGATAATCTGAAGCGGAAGAGATTAAGTAAACTGTGCTTTTTACTCTCCTCATCCTCAGTGGCGATCTGGAGAAAACTGGTCTCGCCGCTCGCCACGATGAAATTATCTAGAAAAAGTAGATGAATAACGTGCTTCAGAATTTGAGTTACTCAAGTTATTCATTTTCAAAACTGCCTCCGGAGGAAAATTTATGGATCGGAAAACTAAGGTTTAGGAAACGTGCAGCAACATTCATGCAAAATATGAACTTCAAATTTGTTGCAGAAGCCAAAATAAAGTAATTCTGTACAGCCACTTCCATGGGAATGAAAAAATATCTACATTAGCGTTCATCTGTAGATCACTTAGGCAACCTGCAGTAGTAATCTGCAGGACTGGCCTAACTGAGTAGAAATCACATTAAAACGATGCTGTTAACACATGGGCAACTCCGATCCTCAATCATTAACTAGTCGTCAAAATCATTTCAACTGTAGACAGAAAGGGGTCTTTTTTACCAAGCATCTAAAACTTTCTATTCGTGCTACATTAACCCATTAGCCACATATGGCAAGAATAGATGCCATACCCACTTTGATACACGTTTATTTATTGTATATACACATAGGTGGCTCCACAAGTTTTTAATCACTAAATAGCCAGTTATCAGGAACTACCTATTTCACCTGTTTACCCTTTTCCTTCACTTTAGGAAAGGGTTTTTTGTATCATTTCATTGTCAAAAATATTCTAATGACAATTCAATAAGCATAACATCAATAACAATAATAACAGTATCGAAAGCAATGGTATTAGTTTTCCCGCCAGTTCAATGAATGGGAAAATCAGGGTCGGTAACTAGGGTCTACTGATAGACTCCTTGCTGGCTGAGCACATGTGGAGCCATCTGTAGGTAACAAAATTCACTAAAAACTACAGGGGACAGAACATACATCCGTGGCGAATGGGTTAAGATTCGACAAATAGCACCTTCGAAATTTAGAAATATAAAAGCCCGAGTACACTCGAGGTATATTAAACCTGGCACTTATGAACAGACATTTAATTTTCGATAGGCTTAACCCTCTCCATGTAACTAATAATTACGTGTACGTTTTTTACCCGATTTCTCGCACGTGATCTTTACATCTTACCCGGAGAAATTTTTAAAGAATTCGTCCTCCAAACCCGGGCACCTAGATAGTCTGGCAGAAACGCTCGACTGCACATTTCTAACGTAAACAATGCAGGCGATATACTTGTGCAGTCATCTGCTGCCACCGAGTTAAACAGGAGCTCTCGTGCAAACACCTTATTTTCTAATACCCGGGGTGAATTAAATAATACTAAAGAACCTGACAAATCGCGAATGATACCCGATTAAAAAGACAATGATCATCAAGCCAGTCATGTGCTTTGGTGACCGAACAGAAGTAATGAATAGTAAGTCTAGAAACTAAACGAACAAGTCTTGAACGACTGTCTCGCTGACACGACAAACACCATCTCTATCTCAAACTAGAGAATTTTGAAAAGCATTTTTCTGTATATACATTTTCCATTGCATCTATGCTTTTCCTAGGTGAAACAAGAAAGCAAACAAATGACTTGTGAAAATCCGCATCCAGTGTAACAGGGATTACCTTTATACTCCTCTTCGAATTTCCTGACGAAGTCGAACAGGGCTGTGATGACGACATGCGACTGACAGCAGGCGAAGGTCGCTGTCTCGCCAATGATACCACAGTCGTACTAAGGAGACGTCAATTTATTAGTGAAGTTTTCAATCTTAGTTATCTTATAACGACAACTTGCTCAGATTTACATAAATATAACCAAAGTCCTACCCTCGCGTTCTTCAGCCCTAATAACGCTATCTCGACCATTGAGTAAGTGATGAACGTGTGCGGACACAGCACGGCGGGGACGCAGAAGCTCATGTCTGGGCAGAGGCGATTCGGCTCCTCGTCAGGGGGCTCTGGCCCGAGTTCCACCGCCGCGTCTTGGGTGACAGGGACTGTGCCGTAGCCAGGCCAGGGAACGATGGAGAAGACGGCATCGTCTGTGTCTTCGGTCTGGTGTGATGTGGGGGGGGGGGGTTATTTTTCGGATTTGACAATGAATTACCCATGGTCTCTAACCTGTTACATTTAAGATTTATACTATAAAGGATTCTTAGAGAGAATATGAGGCACGAGAAATTAACATGGACAGTAAACACTATTTTCTGATGTACGATATAGAATAATTGAAACCACAGAAGACACGAGGTAATTTATGCATCTCAAACTACTATGACTAAATACTTATTCCCTATAGTTGGTGATGGACGCAGTGGCAAGATAAAAGGCCAGTAAATGAGGTTTGCTATATTTATTTATATATATCCATGAGAAAAGAAAAAGGAAAGAAACGCGTAATCCAACTCACCTGGCCATAGTACCAACGCTCAATGGTCGGCTCGAAAGCCTCAGGCAACAGTTCGGTTGTGTTGCAGCAGATATAGCCCTCGCTGTCGATAGTCATCCCGCACATGTACTGAAAGGAAAATATTGCAAGGCCAAACTCGAACCATAGCTTACTAGTGTCCAAATCGTATTTTAAACCTCCAGATACTTATTGTTATTTGCGTCTCACCCTAATGCCAGTAGAAGTAGGCGACTGAAGAAAGCGGTTTTCCTCTTGGCACATCCGCCAGGGAACGCACGCGTCCATGGCAGGACACGCGTACCGCACCTTCATCGCCGTGCACGCGGGCCAGAGAGCCACGGCCGCCACGACGAACAGCATGGGCTGGAAAGGTGGAGTTCCGGGTATTATTTCTCGTTTGGACTTTAAATCAAGAAAATCAAGCGTTGTTGCAGAGACCTTGTGGTTTACATGAACATTATCACCGAATCTGATTTATTGAAGAAAGTACATCAGGAACAACTTGTAGCAGCCGAAAGAATTCTGTCCTAACTATGAAAACTAATTTCATCGTACCGCCTCTCTCGCGGAGAAAACGCCCCTTTCACAAAAGGCCAATCAATCACCTCATCACGAGCTTCTATTGTACTCTGATCACCGGCATAATATACTAACCAATTATGAGAAGCGAGAGCGAAGCGAGGTTGTGGCCCTCCCCCCCGAAGGCGATTTTTAAGGCCTGTCGTGATGGTTGAGAATTCCCCTGCTATATAATCGCAAGAAAAAAAAAATATTGTGTGAAGTGATTTATGGGAGGCACTTGTTCACGCGATGGAATATCAGAAATGTCTCAAATTGATTCAAGAACAGCAAGCTAAACAATTGTTTGAAATTTGGAAACAAGAGAATGCTTTCGTGTTATAACATGTGGAAGTTTCGTAACTATTTCGTAAAATTTCCTGCGCAACCGATCAAGAAATAAGGCTTTATTACATTTTCGAGTGGTGTTCGAGTTTTTTTTCTTACTGCGGGAGTATGTCAAAGACCCAATATCAGTAGAATCCGAAATTCACGATGGCGACCTACACAACAATATCAAAGGCTTCGACACTACAGCCATTTCCCGCGGCCTCGGATACAGCGCGTCTCCTGCGACCACCAAACAGATTTAAGAGTTGGGAGAAGTGAACTTGCTTGCGCTGATACGGATACGACAGGCGGGATAGCTCTAACGAGGGCATCAGGCTACGTTTTACAAGCTAGATAAAATTAAAATGCGTTGAAAATTTATGCGTATCCACATGGTCCTTTTGTGGGGTTTGAATCGAGTCAACGCGGTTTCGAAGACTTAAAAAAGGGGAGGTTGGCATTATATTAGAATACTCAAGTGCTGTGGAGGGAGGGGAGGGGGCGGTACCAATCTATTCCGCTACACGAGCAATGGAAAATTAAAAACTCCCGACAATAAGTAAAGAATAATTAAGGGGCACCGCTGTACACGAGACGGGAAAGGGTTGACAAACAGCAGGCCGATGAGCAATAAGCAGCAGCAGGGAACAAGGCCTCGGGTGAACATCAGGGTGAGGAATAAGGGCGAGGAAGGAAGCAAAGCAGGCAGGACAACCGTCCCCCCCCGTCCCCCACCTCCTCCCCCAGCAGCGAGTTGAGCACCGCATGGCCACACACCGCGTCCACTCCGCTACCTTACCCGCGTCCTTTTTTTTTCTTTTCTTTAAAAAGAAATTCGTCTTTCCCTTCATTAATTTCGAAAACAATGTATTTCGTGGCCACTACTGACCATCTGCGAAAAGGCAACTGGCGTTCGAAAGGAGCTTTTAATTACCGCGCGCACACAACAGCAAATTAAGAGTATTGGGTTCTTTAAGGTGTCGGGCCGACCGAGCTTCGTTTAGAGAGGTCGGCGTTTCTTGATTAATCATTACTGTGCACATTGATGCAGAATTTTATTGTCCATGATAAAGAATCCTTAAGTTACGCGAGAATATAGAATACTATTAAAAGTTATTGAACTATATACATCAAACTTCATTATTCATACTGCGAGAACACTTGTTCATCCATAGAACTCGCCCAATCTGGAACAAGCAAGCTAGATACATTTCAAACAGAAAAACAGAAAATAATAGTATCCGTGTTCTCGATAAGTCCATCCTAAAACATGGTACTACCACCCGGCCGGCTTTTCCCGGGAGCTTCAACAGTAAACAGAACGCAACAGAATCCAGCGCGAAACAGAGGAACTGGGACCGCGGGGCCTAAAGCGCTCGCTCGCTCAGCACATGTCTCGATCCCACGCGTTTAATTTAGATTTAGATATCATGGGCCATGTCCGAGCTAAACGTGAAGCGGCTTAGAGCACATTTTGCAGCGGAAGGACCCGGCGATCAGAATGGCCAACGCGGAAAAATCCTATTACAGATTAGGTATAGAGAGGGGGAGGAAAGGAATACTGTATGACGCTCAAAATTTATTGAAAGGCGGATACTAATATCACAAACAATGGAAGGTGTCACTGAAAAAAATGTAAATGAAGAAATATAGTAGCTATAGTGCAGTCGAGTCCGGGGGTTAACACACAAGAATTAAGAAACCCGATACTTAACGCCTCACAAATTTAACTCCAAGACGCCCACTGGTACGAAACCGGTAGCCGCGACAGGTAGGTGGGAGTGGTACCGATGGGCGTCCCCGGCCAGTCCAGGCAACACCTTGGCTGACATCCCCCCCCTCCCCCGAGCCGAGATCCCCTACGTCCCCAGCCACTTCATCTATCTCCCTTCCCTTTCTCCCTTTTCCCCATCATTCCTCCCCATTTTTGTGAATCTCCCGCCTACCCATTCCACCCCCCTTCCCCCCAAAAGCCCCCGGCAACCCCCACACCACCAGCACAAGCACCGCCGCCGCCACGCCCCTCGCCCGCCCAGCCCGAGTCATCACCGCCTTAATTACTAGCTTCGGTAATTAGACATTACTGAGGCGGCTTCTCTTGACCGCTCTTTGACAATGCGCGAACTCTGGCCCGAAATATTAAAAATACATGGGGACAAGGTCTTAGCCTCAGTGGACGAAAACGTAGGAAGGAGGGACAAACAAGAATGGAGGGAGAGAAAAAGAAGAGGGAAAGAGGAGGAAAACAAAGGACATTTTAATCCCTAGCCGTGATTCGGGGCGGGCTGGCTACTTGACACTTTAGAAATCGATATTTTATGTTCTCCCTTTTTGTGGTGTAATTGTAGTGCGGGGTGAACAGGCAGAAGCCGTTACAAGTCGGGAAAGTAGAAGTAGAAGAGAACATTGTATAATATGTATTGACCCCACTTTGTATAGTGTATTATTTAATAAGTGTTTAGCATTAAACATGTAATAGTGTCAACTGGTCACTTTCTTAACACGAAGAATGCGACAATACATTATACCGATATCTAACTTTACATGCAACACGTGGGGGACAAAAGTACCTTGAAACTCATTTACACCCTATACTGCATTTAGTTTGCAAGATAATTTCCTTGCAAAAACTCCATTCGCAGAACGTAACCTAAATACGATTGCTACACCGTCACAATATAATGCAAGTCATTAAGCACGCCATTTCCCTCGCATATCCTAGAACACGACACGCACAATTGCACCTATTAAGACGGTAGCAAACACGCTATAGCTTCAGCCATTCCTGCCCGGACGCGCCATTCCTCGGACCGGCGATTAATAGGTAAAATGCACACTGACAACAGCAGAGTCCACTTTAAGAACCAGACTCGCTACAAGCACTCGATGACAACGTTAAAATGGACAACATGAGTGGTCAATAGAGTACCATGTCAAATTTTCGCCCGATTTAGTGCATGGTAATGATGCTTTCCTAGTTTTAGCAACCTTTGATGAATATTAAGGGTCTATAAATAAATTTGCCTTTGCACGTCTGACACTGATAGGCAAGCTGTGTAAACATGTACCCAAACTAAATTTATACGGATTGCTTGCAAATTATCAGGTATCCGCAATGCAAATGATTCATGAAGTTACTTAAGAGAATGGCGGCAAGATTAAAATAAACATGACGGCATAATTGTACTAAACCACTTCTGTATACTTAACACAAGATGGATGGTTACAGGCGGTCTTTGTAATATACGAAGATCCTATCTCCACTTTATAAAAATGAGAATCATGCAAATGCCAAGCGAAAAGGGACGATTACTTACAAATGAAGCGCGTTTGGTGGATGTGTAAAGTGTATCTACCTTTCTCCTAAATCTATACACGGTATTCATAGTCCTAAGGATTAACAGGAAGCTACCTAACGCAGTAAAACTATCTTGGCTTCAATATAAAATTATATATATATATATATATATATATATATATATATATATATATATATATATATATATATATATATATATATATATATATATATATATATATATATATATATATATATATATATATATATATATATATATATATATATATATATATATATATATATATATATATATATATATATATATATATATATATATATATATATATATATATATATATATATATATATATATATATATATATATATATATATATATATATATATATATATATATATATATATATATATATATATATATATATATATATATATATATATATATATATATATATATATATATATATATATATATATATATATATATATATATATATATATATATATATATATATAT